GGCTGGAGTGCCCATGGCGTCAGCCTAGCTCACAGCAACCTCTCACTCCTGGGCTCAAGCGATCCTCCTGCCTCAGCCTCCAAGTAGCTGGGACTACAGGCACGCACCACAGTGCCGGGCTAATTTTTTCTATTTTTAGTTGTTTGGCTAATTTCTTCCTAATTATAGTAGAGACGGGGTCTCGCTCTTGTTCAGGCTGGTCTCGAACTCCTGAGCTCAAACGATCCGCCCGTCTCGGCCTCCCAAAGTGCTAGGATTACAGGCGTGAGCCACCGCACCCCGCCTATTATTATTATTTTTTGTAAGACGGGGTCTCACACTCCTGACCTCAATCAATCCTCCCTCCTGGACCTCCCAAAGTGCTGGAATTACTGGCGTGAGCCGCTGCACCGGCCACCACTACGGTATTTTAAAATGCATAAGGATAAACCCCTAGCACTGTGACCCTCCAGGGTCCACTAATCCTTGAATTCCCAATCCCGGCTGGCTTCCACCCCGCCGTCCACGTGACCCGATGCCTTCGCCAGGTTCCCAGGAGCGCTGCTCCCTTGCCACGCTGGTCCGCAACGACCCCCACGTCGCTAAGCAACAGGCGGACGCAACCGCCACCTTCTCTTCCCCAAGATGCCGGGGAGGAGGGCAGGGAGCGAGCACGCACGCGCACCGCCAGCCCCGGGTCCCACCCAGGGCCCTGGGCGAGCTCCGCTCCTAGGAGAAAGGGGAGAACTTAAGGACATCCAATTCTTAAACCCTGGAAATAGGCAAAAGAGCGCTTCCTAAAGCCTGTGTCCAGACTCTCCTCACAAGTCCTCTACTACGTCCTAGTCACTCAAGCTGTGGTCTGGTGGACTAGCCGCAGCGACAGCATCACATGGGAGCCTGCTAGAAATGCAGAATTTCGACCCCACTTCAGACCTACAGAACCCCTGTCTGCATTTTGAACGAGATCCCAGGAGTTCCCTATACATATTAACGTTTGACAGGCGTTGTTTGCTTTCACAATCCACATAAGTCAATGCCACAAATAAATACATCAAACCAGGAACACCTCTTATAGGCAGGGTGAATTTTTAACTTTAGATGCTAAAAGAGAACCTTTATGATTTATAAGAGGAAATTCCCACCTTTGAGTTCCCTAAACTCAGAAAGGGTGAAAATTCCTTCCTGTCTTCTCTGACCATCAGTTCAGGACAGAATGCATCATTGACCTCTAGTTCCTGCTCTCAAAGCCATTGGGGAAACCAGAAAAGACAATTTCCACTCCCAGAATAAAAGTGTTGCTTCTTTCAAACAAGGTGAAAAGAGGGTCTCAAAGAATGGGTGCCTTGGACCTGCCAAGATAAGTAGGTCAACTGGCAACACAAGGGAAATCCCAGTTCCAGGGAAGACAGAGCACCACTGTCTTTAACAACAATGTGAGCACCAAAACGGTGCTCACATAACCCAGCTGAATAGCTCCCAGAAAACAGACCCCATTTCCATCTTAAAGGCCAAAACGAAATTCCTACAAATACTAAGACAGTGGATTGGTACTCCTGAGAGAATTTCACAGGTCAGTAACTTCCCTGTCTGGTGAGTTGTCTCCACCTCCGTCTATCTTGGGAAGCTGCAGAACTTAAATTTAACTTCCTCATCAGATGACAGTGGCAAACCAGAATAGACACATCCCAACCCTACAAGAACCACTTTGCTTCGCTGGGAAACACTAAACAGAAGAGATTGACTCACCAAAGAACATCACCTTTTTTTTTTTAGCCAGTCAAATTTAGCAGCGGGGGGGTTGTATACCAACTTTAGTGACACTAATGTTAATAAATTCTGATGACCCACTACCATCAGACCAGCCAGAACATCACATTTAAAGAAAAGAAAATGATCATTTTTTTAATGGCAAGGAGAAAATAATAAGATGGAGGAAAAACGTATTTCAGACAGAAAACAACTAAAAATTTTTTTTCTAAAAATCCACAATACATGATACAACACTTATGAACCTTGACATTATGTTAAGTGAAAGAAGCTAGTCACAAAGGATCACATATTATAAGATTCCATTTATATGAAAAGACCAGAATATGCAACTCTCTAGAGACAGAAAATAGATTAGTGGTTGCCTAGGGCTAGGAAGGATGAGAGCATTGGGGGTTAATGGCTAAAGGATTCTGGGTTTCTTTTGGAGATAAGGGAAATGTTCTAAAAGTTATTGTGGTAATAGATACACAACTTTGTGAATATACTAAAAACCATACAAAGTATAAAATTGTGTAAATGTGTGAATTGTATGATATGTAAATTACATTTCAATAAAGCTGTTTAAAAAAATTCATGGCTCCACACTAGATCCATATTAGTCTAAAACATGGAGTTCCTACTATAACACAAAGACTTTCTGGGCAAAATCTGAAAAAAAGTTGATGTCAGTACTGGGTAGAGGCCCTGCTAGGTTTATATAGCAACACACTCCCTTCTCAGTTTGGGAAAGAATTTCACAGTCTTGTCTCAAGATCATCAGTCTCACAGAAATCCCCATCTGGCTGTAGGTTCCTGTTCCAGAAACACTGGAAAAACCAGAAAAACCAAAACAGGCAAAACACACTTTCAAAACAACACCTTTAATCTACGTGGGCAAGGGGAGAAACAAGGGATCATGGGACAGACATTAATAGACTGTGTCAGAATAGGAAGTTGAGAATTTACTATTACCATAGGAACTCAAGTCCAAAGTAGACCACACATTCCCCAAAGAAATCATGTTTCAAAAGTTCTCAAAAAAACATAACATTCAAAGAATGGTGGCTAAAAGAGACCACCTGGATGGCTAAGGTCTTCTTGGTGACCACACTGACCTCAGCCGGGCTACCCCTATTGAACTTTGACCTTGGCAAATTCTCTTCTCTCTTCCCAATCCATTTTTTTGTTTGTTTGTTTATTTTTTTGGAGACAAGGTCTCGCTCTGTTTCCCGAGCTGGAGTGCAATGGCGTCGTCATAGCTCACTGCAACCTCAATTCCTGGGCTCAAGTTCCTGCCTCAACCTCCCAAGTAGCTGCAACTACAGACACACACCACCATGCCTGGCTAATTTTTCTATTTTTTGTAGAGACAGGGTCTCGCTATGTTGCTCAGGCTGGTCTCCAACTCCTGGCTTCAAATAATCCTCCTGCCTTGGACTCCCAAAGTGCTGGGATTACAGGCATGAGCCACAGCACCTGGCCTTCCCAATGTGTTTAATTTCCCAAACCAAGGGTAGAGAGCATTATGGGAATCCCCATGAGGATCCTGGCTGCGCCCACAAAGGCCTGTGTTGGGTAACAGCTGTAGCTGTTACCATGGAAAGACAGAAGGGGGAGGTGGGACAGGTATGTCTCTTACCCTAAAGCAAAACACTCAAAACCTTAGGGCATTGGGAGGATTAAAGAGAGATCTCTGTAGCTGTCAGCGAACACCTTGGTCCTGCATGACACCCTGGATTCTCTCTAATTCCCAGGCAAATTAAAAGACTAAATGTTCTCAAGCAATTAATAAAGCAGATGCTGTTTGGCTTGTGTGTCTCCTATAGACTCCTGCTTTAGTCCCTAAGGACAAAACGGCCATCTCTGATGCCAAGGACAAAAGGCATTGGCAAGTGCCTAGAACAGTGCCTAGCACATAGTAGACATTCGCTAAATATTTGTTGAATTTCTCTCGAATGAATGCTGACATTCCCTTGGCACTCTCTGCCTTCTTCCCTCAGCCTAGAAAAACACACACGAAACACACACACACACTAAGTTGAACCCATACCTGTTCATTGCAACCCCATTTCATTGGTAAGGTTGCAAAATCAATATGCATAACAATGATTACTGCTAGAATACAGATTTCAGTGGGCAAGGCATTTTGTTAATTGTGTTACTAATGTACTCTAAACGCCTAAGATAATGCCTGGCACATAGCAGGTCCTCAATGAATATTCGTTTAATACCGAATGAATTAAGGTCCTATTGTGTGCCAGGCGCAGTCCTAGGCGAGTTCAGCTGGTGTCCCCTTCCCAATCACTTCCACCCAGGCGGCGGCGGCTGCCCTGAGTCCTCCTATCACCAGGGGCCGCTGTGGGAAACGCCTGGCTTCCTTCCCACGTCACTCTTTGACCCCGAAGTCACTGCCCGGAGCTAAGATGGCAGCGTCGGTGGCAGCCGCAGCCCGGCGGCTGCGGCGGGCCATTCGAAGGTCGCCTGCCTGGCCGGGCCCCAGCCGTCGGCCGATCTCATCCGAGCCCCCTCCAGCCCAGGCTTCGGCCGTGCGGGACGCCTTCCTGAGCTTCTTCCGGGACCGCCATGGCCACCGGCTGGTGCCCTCCGCTTCCGTGCGGCCTCGCGGCGACCCCAGCTTGCTTTTCGTCAATGCGGGCATGAACCAGGTTGGGGCTGAGTAATACTGATCGGGGGCGGGGTTTGTGAGTTTTCCGGTGAGGAAAGGCACTGCGGGATTGGGCAAAAGAAGCAAGGGGCGGAGCTCATAGATTTTGGGGAAAGAGGGTGGTGCTTGGTTAGGTAAAATGATTGGGGGCGGGGCTCAGGTTATATATAGTTAGGGCTTGGGGAGGGCTTGACCTGCGTGGGAATTTATGGACTGGGATTGAGTTATAGGTCCAGGAACGGTGGGTGTGGAGTCCTGTGGGGGCAAACTGGTGGGGGAAGTCTGGTTTCATTTATTCATTCCTTAAATAAAGATAACTCATTCATTAAATAAATGTTTATTGAGCACCTACTATGTGCTGGGCACTGTTCTCTAACCACTTACCTTCTCTAGACTTCCTTGTCCTTGGAGGGAGAGGGTGGCGGGATAAGTTAACCTTAGAGGCTGCCCGAGATCCCTACTAAATGTGGTCTCAGTTTTGTACCCTGAAGTTACTGGGTGTGTTTGAAGAAGCTGAGATGGAGGATGCCACTTTTCAATGCTGTTTCCAGTTACCAGCACATTCCTCCTTCTTTTACCTTGCCTAATTTACTAGCAGAGGGTCTCTGAGTCATGATTTATTTATCGCTTCTCTGCCCCCCACACACCAGAGGTGGCTGTCCCCAGTTTCCCAGGTTGCACCTTAGACCAAGACCACATCGGACTCTCAGGAACACAGTCAGCCTTCAGTCTGAACAGCCATCCCTCTCCCCACTCCCCACCTTTCCCTTCTCTGAGGAACTGAGACATCCCTCTCTCCCTCCCCGCTTCATGTGCCTCCAGTTCAAGCCAATCTTTCTGGGCACCGTGGACCCACGAAGCGAAATGGCAGGCTTCCGACGGGTGGCCAACAGCCAGAAATGTGTGAGAGCCGGAGGACGCCATAGCGACCTGGAAGATGTGGGCCGAGACCTTTCCCATCATACCTTCTTTGAGATGCTCGGCAATTGGGCCTTTGGGGGTGAATATTTTAAGGTGAGTCTCTAGGGAGCTCTGGAGTTAAGAAAGGGTTGAAATGGTCAGTGATCAGCCAAGACGGGAGTCAAGGTTAGTCCTGTCTTCACTCTCCTGTCTGCTTAGGCAGGGCCCCATGCCAGATACCGAGGCGATGTGCTAGTTGAGCATGTGTAAGAGGAATTCTATCTCACTTTCTGGACTGGCTTGTAAGTCCCATGAGGGCAGAGACCGTGCCTCCTTTGGAATGGCTGGTCAAAAATTATATGGATAGGC